TATATATATATATATATATATATATATATATATATATATATATATATATATAGTGTTGCTATTCGTCACCCAGAATGCAGAATAGGTTATTTTTCACCCGAGGTAATCTTACGATTGCTTCATAAACAAATTACATTTGGATTACAAATAGTTACATTCATATTGATTCACTACATAAAATTTGGTATAAGAAAACAAAAAAATAGGTTATAAGACCAAAAATATCGCATTTTTATGTATGTTTTTATGTTCGTAACTTTACATAACATAGAATATTTTTTACGTCAAGTATATATTTTCTTACGTTTACTTTTTACGTATGAAATAGGACAAAATATACGAAACCTAAAAATACGGTGTATTGGCGTCAAAATAGAGAGGGGTGAAGAATAACTATTCCTCACCCAGGGTGACGAATAGCGCGACCCTATATATATATATATATATATATATATATATATATATATATATATATATATATATATATATATATACTCCCTCCTTTCCGGTTTATAGGGCTTATCTCAAAATTTTAGTTTTTCCATTTTATAAGGCTCAATTTGGTTGTTCCCCATCACATGTTCAGACTTCAAGGTGCATTAAATCATTGCATGCAAGTATTAAGAGAAAACTGACCAATGCATGCATTTTATGCATGCATGCATTGCAATTAATGCATTCGTAAACATAATTTTTTTTAGGAAAACAAGAGCATTAATTGGGTGCTTTTGCAAACTACAAAAAATATTTCACCAATCATCATCTACCTTGATTGGTGAAATTTTTGAATTGAGCCTTATAAACCGGAAAGGAGGGAGTATAATGCAGGTATCATAAATTCTCAATTGTTGCGACACTAACAAATGGATTTTGCAGACGACACAGAGCTGTTCTGGGGGCTCCCGAACTTCAACACGAGGTTGCTGCAGGACGGCTACGTGCAGTCAGAGATCCTACCGAGGAAGGACCAGGACTTCACCTTCGATGCAGGTTGGGCGTTCCTGATCAGGAAGATGTACTTGGACGGCGGTGAGTGCGCGATGCCACCACCTGACGACTACCCACCGCTGCCCAGCGCCAGCTGCGATCAGCGCCTCTCGGCAGTGCTGAGGTCACTGCTCGCGGGCCTCGTCTTGTTGTTTCTCCTGTTCTAGGGGAGGAGGAGGTCGGTTAGTGCCCTTTATCCCTTCCCTGTACATTGCTTTATGAATTTATATAGCTTGCTAGTCCAGCTTTTGAGTTTGAGTAAACGGAAGAACCCCGAGTCACTTATTGCTGCACCTGGCAACTAATCAACCTTTAAGTTTCCTTTTTGAGAAGTTTTGTGGGGACGCACGCATGCATGCAGCTACTGCACTGCACATAAGCATCTCAGTTGTCGTTGGTACATGTGTCATTGCAGTGCTGATAACCAGCAACGCTACAGTTTTTGCAGCTCACGTTGTTGGTTACTGGATGTTCCTAATCCTACATGTAGCTGGTTGTTGCTCTTTTTCTCTGAGCATATCCCTATGGATGGGTGTAACACATTTACTACTCTGCAGTAGTGAAATAACCTCACACTTTCTTATAGTCTCTCATCTTATCTGCAGGAGAAGAAAGAAGTTATCAAGCCGTGGGACTCGGTCAGCCTTGCACAAAGAGAGGATCATACTACTGGAGTTGTCAAGTATTGATGAATGCTTAGATTAGTGTCCCAGAACTGCTCTGAGGGGCACTGCCGGGATGGATAGCTGCTTCGCAGTGTTTCTAGCTTGGTGCTTGGTGTTATATAGTTGTCGAAGGCGCTGTTCGTGCTAACCTTTCCGAATGCACTTATTAGTTTACTATATATTCCTCCAAAGTTGGTGCCGCTCCTTCTGAGTGTTGCTGTAGACCAACAACCTGTTTAGACATCTTTGCGTGTGTTTGTTTCACTCTGTAACACCAAGCTGTCATATAAGCTTCAGTCAGTTCCGTTATATTTTTGTTCTTGTTTTGCACTTGCTTCCCATCCTTGCCGTATGAGAGTAATGTCCTGGAATGTGAAAGTGTTAGGGGACGAGGAGGAAAACATAACCATTTTCATTTCAAACCAATACAAGGTGCAAAATCCAGGCCTCCTCTGCTTACAGTTACAGGAAACAAACCAAGCTACAGGTCATCTCTCGTCTCGGTTAAAAAAACACGACTTCCTCCCGAACTACCTCAGCGGTTATTTAACTCTATATTCTAATTAGTATACTATATACTTAACGGATTTGCTAATTCACATCTCATCTACTGTAGATGACAATTAGTTACGTGGGCTCGCGCAGCGTACTTCTTTCGCATGGGCTCTTTTAGGGCATCTCCAACATAGGCGCTTGTGGATAAAAAAATAAATCTCATCAAATAAGAAAATATCGAAGCGCTCCCCGACTCAATGTTGGGCACTAGCTATAGGCGCTAATTAACTTGAAAAATTGATCGCCACACATCAACGCCTTTTAACTCGTACGAAGGAAAAACACCTAAGTGCTCGGCACCATTCTTTGCGCCGATGCCGGTCTGGACGCCAGGATTAATCAGTCTAACTGCTAATCGGGTAGGATTTTTAGCCTAGCACCCACACCTGGCGCGGCACCCAGCGTTGGACATGCCCTCAGCGTCTGCTGTCTTTCGCATGCGGGCCGGTGATTTTTCCTATGCCGATCACGTGTTGTCTCCACGGTGGATTTTTTATATGCGGATGGCTGGGTGCCCCTATTTGGCGACCTAGGCGCACCCAGTCACGTAAGCGCGTACCCTCGCTGTTTTTTTTCGTTTTTGTTTTTAGTTTTCGTTATTTACTTTATGTTTTTGTATTATTCTATGTGAAAATAATCCAGGATTACAAAAAGGCTCTAAATTTTCAAAAAGTTGAGAACTTTCAAAAAGAAATCTTGAATTCAAAAACTGTTCACGGTTTAAAAAAGTATGTACATTTTTAAAATTTTCAATTAAATTTTTTTCATTCTTGTGAAACAATTTATGAACATTTTTATAGTAATGATGACAATTTGTTGTATTTTATTTACAAATTTTAATTTGATGAACAAAATTTGTATTCAAGAACATATTTTTGAAAAATTTGATGAACACATTTTGAGTTCAGTTAATAAAATTTGAATTTGATCAAAATTTTCCGAAAACAATGAACAAAAATATAAATTGATGGGAATTTTTTTTAGATTGATGGAAAAAATTGAATTTTGATGAACATTTTTTAAATATGATGAAAAAAATTGAATTCACTGAATATTTTCAATTGTTGAACATTTTTTACATGGTGGAAAGTTTGTCGAAATCGATGAACAAAGAAAACGGAAAAATAGAAGAAAACAAAAAAATAAGAAAAAGACAAAAATAAAAACCGGTAGAGAAAACATAAAAAAAGACGGTCTTGGAAATAAACAGAAAAATGGGCCAGCCCATACACTGGATCGCTCGAGGGGTCCGTGCTATGTCGCGGAAAATCCTATAGGCCGCTCATTGCGGCAAACTGCCGGGGCTTCGCACAGGGGGCGAGCGACCAAGCGATATTTTGGGCCGGCCCACTTAGGTGAATAACTTATGAACTGCCCCACTACGGTTTTCTGAACCTTCTAGAAGGTTCCATGAACGTTTTTTTTCCTTTTATTGGTTTTCCACCTTTTTTCACTTTTCTGTTTCTTTTTCTTTTATTTTTTGTTTTCTGTTTCTTTTCCATTTGTTCGTTTTTTCTTTCCTTTTCTTTTTCAAGTTTTTTTTCTTTTTCAGAACATGTTCGCAGTTTTACAAAATGTTTAGGACTTTCCTTTTTAATTCTTTTTGTTTTTTCAAAAAAAATCAAAAAATTAAATTTTGTTCGTGTTTCCAAGAAATGTTCCCAAATTCAAAAATTGTTCTCGTTACACAAAAAAGCTCAAAACTTTTCAAAATTCAGAAAATGTACGAGATTTCAATTTTTACTCACATATTCAAAAATTGTTCGCGCTTCCAAATTTGTTCGGGACTTTTCAAAATTGTTCTCCGCTCCAAAATTTGTTCTCTAGATTAAAAAAAAGTTTGTGCTTTAAAAAATTGTTCACGCTTCCAAATTTGTTCAGGATATTTCAAAATTGTTCTCCAATTCAAAATTTGTTCTCAAGATTCAAAAAATGTTCATGCTTCCAAAAATTTTCGTGCTTCCAAAGTTGTTCTGAAGATTCAAAAATCATTCGTGCTTTAAAAATTTCTTCACAAATTCCAGAAATGTTCATGTTTTCGTAAAATCTGTGGGAAATTCAAAATTTGTTCACATAGTCAAAAAATGTTCATGTTTCAAAATTTGTTCACAAATTCAGAAAAATGTCCGCATGTTTATTTTTTTCACTAATTCAATTTTTTTCCTGTTTCCAAAAATTGTTCACATATTCCCAAAAATACTGCAGTTTTTGAAAATTTGTAATTGGCTGAATTTGTTTTAATTTATGGAATTGGCTAAATTGGTGTTTATTTTCGCCGCGGTCGAAGTTTATTTAAACTCCTGCTGCTATTCTTTCATAGTAGGTAGCCTCGCACAGTGGCTAGAGCATCACGTGCAACTAAGCAAGGTCGTGGGTTCGAATCCTCGCTTACAACACTTTACTTCTTGGCGAATTTTCCATTCCTTGACGGACAACGAATGGGCCGGCCCAGTTGCACGCCCCCTGTGCGTCACGCAACCTATTGGCCGCAAAATGTGGCATATAGGAAGTCTCATTGTACATTTGGTGCTCTCTGTCCTCATCAACCTCTAATCTGCGTTGGCTCAATTTGGAAGCCCATGAGAGTGGCCTCTAATCTGCCCTTTGCTTGGTAAAAGGGAGATGGCCCAATGGCTAAGGCCAACTCCACCGTGCGACTCCAAACGGACGTCCGTTTTGTCCGGATTTTATTCGTTTGGGTAGGAATTTGGGATCGTGTTCGGACGTGTCCTGGGATGCGGTGGCCGTGTTCTAGCGGCAGACGCATCCCGGCCGCATTCTGTCCGCGTGCATTTTTCTTTGCAAGTCCTTAACTTTTTTATCCTTCATTTTTAGTACATGACAATACATCATCACATTTTGACTAGTAAAGTAAGGCCAAAGAAAATAAGAACAACAAGAATACATTTTAAAAGATACCCAACTTCCATAACTGCTCCCTTGAGTTGGGTTAGGGTCTTCTCGATGCACTCATTGTTAATATGTGGAGGAGGCTCGATGTTGCATCCTCCTTTCTTCTTCAAGCCAGAAGTCGATGTTGCTTCCTCACACCTAGTCTCATGTCTAGCCTCTAATCTAGCAACAAGTACATTTGTCTCATCTACAACCTCTATGCTAGCTAACAGTGCACGAACATGTACTAAATTTCACTCTATCAATATATCGATGTACTCTTCTTCCCAATACCAAAACTTGCATTCATTCTACACAATAAAATTTGAAGTTAGCACAACTAGTCTAATCCGAGAGCACAAATCGAAGCTAAAAAGAGCAAATACCCCATCGTTTAAGCACTTGATGAACACCCATCCGGGATGTTCCGGCGTTGTAGACACGCGGCGCACGACCATCCTTGGGCAGTGGTCACACTTAATGAGTGGCAACGGTGCGCCGACGAGCTTTTGGCCAAGCACCGAGCCCGGCCGGTCGCCATTCGTGTATCTGCCGGCGGACCACCAACGGTGCAGATCCGAGCGGCTAGAGGAGGAGCCACTGCCTGCATGTGGCCTTGCGGCCCTGCCAGGGCCTTCCGGTGAGGTGCCCGATCAGTCCATGGCGCGCCCCAGCCTCCTACAGCCGGGCGAGTTCAAGACCGACCGGATCAGCCCCAAATCCGGCCGGCGGGTGCGCAAACCAGGTGGTCGTGGTTGGGTAGCTCGGCGGCATCGAGGGGAAGGGGCTGGTGAAGGAAATATGCCCTAGAGGCAATAATAAAGTTATTATTTATTTCCTTATATCATGATAAATGTTTTATTATTCATGCTAGAATTGTATTAACCGGAAACATAATACATGTGTGAATACATAGACAAACAGAGTGTCACTAGTATGCCTCTACTTGACTAGCTCGTTAATCAAAGATGGTTATGTTTCCTAACCATGAACAATGAGTTGTTATTTGATTAACGGGATCACATCATTAAGTGAATGATCTGATTGACATGACC